TTTTTTTGGTTTTTCTCCGGTACCGGGAACCGAACTCACGACCTTGCACTTGCCAGGCAGGCGCTTTGCCGCTGAGCTAAATCCCCAGCCCCCCTGACTATGCATTTTAAAAATGCCATTTCACAAATGGGCAGACTTTTCCCCTCTCTTTGAATTGTCATTCTATTTTATGAATGATTTGAAGAGGGAAAAAATGACTTCTTAAGACTGGGATTAGTGACACTGTGGCTGCAAAGCTAGTCCCCTGTGGTAGACACCAGGTGGCTTTGCTGTGAACCAGAACTCTGCACCAAAGAAAGTGCTATGGAGATGGATACGCAGCTCTATACTCACTACTGGCCTGACATTACTGAGGCGCTCAAGGACCCACTTGTGGTGCCGGCCTTCCTCAAATGTGGCCTGTTTGGTCTTTATGAAATAAATCCATCTGTCCAGGGGCGTAGCGATTGTTTCCATGCACTTCTCGTCTCTACCCAGAAGTACACCTTGACCGTGTTCCTCGCTCTTGTCTCCTCCTCAGAAATACCTCAGGGACTTTTTCAGTGTGATGCTGCAGTCGGCGACATCCCCCCTGCACATCAGCAAAGTGGGGCTGACCCTCTCGAAACACACCATCTGTGAGTTCTCGCCGTTCTTCAAGAAAGGAGTCTTTGACTACAGCAGCTACGGGACGGGATAGAGCTGGGGCGACAGGAGCCATTGACGCGTGCCTTCTCGTGGAAGCAGGTCCGAGGCAGGAGCGGCCAGCCCGGATACCTCGCATCATCCTTCCCAGTGCCTGAGTCCGGCGGTGCTCGACAGGTGGACTACGCCCCCTGCAGGTGAACGGGGCCTTCCTTCGCGCTTCTTCCTGTCACGCAGCGAGTCCCTCCAGGCACAGGGTGGAGAGTGAGTGCCTGCTGGCCTCCAGCCCCACACCGAGCCAACCTGGCCCCCCAGAGCGGGTGGCTCGCCAGACCACCCCTAAGTGACTTTCATCTGGTTTGCTCCTTCACCAAAATAGACTTTTCTTTTTTATATCCCTTCCATATGGCTGGCTATATTCCAAAAAAAGCATTTTAAATTATTTCATTATGGTTTCTTTCTCTTTTTTTTTCATTTGGATCATAACTTTTATATAATACTGAAACACTGATGTTTACACAGAATGTCATATTCTGCAAAAGGGATTGTTGGCCCAATCATGATTAGAGTCTTCCATGCCTGACAAATTGGATGTAGGCAACATCACCACACATAGGAGATTGTGTAGCCTTGAATATGGGAGGTCACAGCCCCAAATCTCAGCAGCTGCTGTGCGTTCTTGAGCTTTTTCTGCTAAGCACAAAACAAGCGCAAACCTGGATGCATATTTTTAAACATTGTTTTGTTCACATTTTTATTACACAATCTACTGGATCTTAAGCTAAAAAAGTAGAATTTGCAGTTGATTATTAATAATCCCTTAAATTACTCAGGACTTAATGTAGCGTCACACATCTGTGTACAGTCAAGCTGCTTTTTGTTTTACTAAAGAGAAAAATGTGAGTAAAAAAATATATATGGTATATCTTGAAATGTATATAATTCTACCTATAGATTTATATATGTACACACTCTTATACAGTAGTTGTATGGAACTGTATACTTATTCACACAAAATTTATTAAATGTATTTGCTTTTTTGGATTTTAAATTGAGCTGCTATCAATATTAAATGAAGTGATAGAATCTACCCTGTAGCTCAGTTTGTTTGTAACCTGATCCGCTCCTACTGGTCTGTTTAAAAATTGATCTGCTGTGCTTGGAAAGACACATAATGTATAATGTAGCATTTGTGTTGTAGAAGATGCAGTAACAATAATGAGTGAAGGCACAAATGAATGGTTAACAGTCTTGGCGCAGTCTTTCAGACCATACCTGCACAACAGAGCTCTCCTACCTCAGAAATATGTTTAAAGATGCAATTATCTCTATAAGGAGGAAATTATTATTGCACTAATTAAATATTATAGTTTAGCATGAAAAAAAGTGAGGACTTATTTTCATTGCTGCAAAAAGACTTGCTTCTATCTGCACGCCTGATTACAGACGTAGGGAGTGGAGGAATAGTTACTACTAAGAATTTAAAACTACAGATGAGAGGATAGAAGCTGGGGAGATAGTTTTTAACCATACATTATTTGTTAAAAGAAGTCCCAGCATGAAATACTGACCCTAATTTGCTTGATAGATGTTTTCTTCACTGACCAGATAATCTGTCTCTACCCTTGAGGACATGTATTACCGATGGCTCATGGCAAACATTAGGTTAAAATCCCCCAGGGTACTGGGCAAGAAAAATTGGGCGTGTATTTGTAAGAAGTGTGGTAATCAAAAGATCCTTCTATTCCAATCTTAACCTTGAGTAATTAGAGTTAAATTTGAAGTGCAAGGACTAGCTGGCTCTGGTGACAGCCAACTATGACATAAATGAGTCATTTCACCCCTGTAGGTATCTGTCTCCCCACCTAAAATGAAGCTATGGTGCTGGGTGACCCCTAGGTCCATGCTGGCCCATGTGACAGAGAAAAAATAAACTCTGTCAGTAGGATTGTCATGTTCCTCTTGTGTATCTGTGAAATGCATGCTTCTGGTCTGGCTTACAGGTAGCTGAAGCTGAATAACATGTGAAGGAAAGTTGAAAAGCAAATGATAAGTCACATCTAAGCAAATAGTGGAAATCCTTTCTAGAATAAGATAGGTGACAGAGTTAGGACGACAACATTGAAACTTTATTAATTTGGGCTAACTTAAAAGAGTATAAGAAGGTTAGCAAGTTTGTTATTACTGTACTTTCAAGTGCCTCAAATACCAAAATATTACCAAGCTGAGCACCTCAGGTCAGATTGACAAGCTCTGATGGTTAATCTTGATTGTCAATTTGATTGGCTTGAAAGACACATAGGAGATTAAAGCACACTTCTGAGTATTTCCAGGCAGCTCATGGGAGCTTGACTGGTCACTCCACCTGACCCCGACCTCTCCTTCTCTGGCTGTCTTCCCCTGTGCTCTGCTTCCCAGCAACCATAAAGTAAGCAGCATTACTGCAGTATGCACTTCTACCATGATGTCCTACCTTGAAGCCAGCTAACCATGGACTGAATTCCCAGAAACCACAAGCCAAATTAAAGCTCTCCTCCTCTCAGTTGTGTCTTGTGTTTTGTCCCAGCAGCAGAAAAGCTGACTCATACATGAGCCATCAACTTAAACTTTTGTAGTCAGCTGTAGAAAATCTAAGGAACTTAAACAGGATTCTTTTAAGTAGTTTTAGCATTCCTTCCTGTATCTTGTTTATTAAATAAACATGCAATGTACCAATCTTACTTAAAATCACAAGTAATTAAGTAACCTTTGGTCCTATTCTCAATCACTCCTTGCTATTTCAGAATTAGATTCAAATTCATCCTTATGATTAATTTAAGCAGGTGATAAGGAATAACCAAGTCATTGCAGCACCCAAATGACTGACATCTAGGAGCCTCGGGTCCATAATGTGGAGATGCTTTGAAGATACATGAACAGAATACCTGGTCCCAAGTTTATTTCAATTCACATTTTTATGCAAATTTTAATTTTTATACAAATAAAAGCAAGTTCGACACAATTATGCCTCTGACCTACCTACTGAGAGCTCTAAATGGCACGTGCACCCAGGTGTGGTGAAGCCAGGAGAAGCTTGCACAGGTTAGAACACCACACATGCCCTGAGGGGGAGGTCCACCCCAAAGGGCCAGTGTATGGCTGGAGTTCCCCGCCTTAGCGCTTGGGGGCGCTGTTTGGTGTTTTGGGTGACCGTGTTCCCTCACTGAGTTGTATGAGATGGAGAACAGTGTTCCATTGTGATTGTAACTCCTTGTAACTCGTGTTCTGAGCCTGCAAAGAGGTAAGCCTCATTTCCTCAAAGAAATGCACATAGCAGTTTACGCCTGACATGAGCCATGGTACTCAGGTACGCAGGCTTCAAGCAGTGCTATTAGGGTTCCAAATGCAGTCTCCTTTACAGATATTGAAACGTTGGCTAGGGTTACGTGTGCAAGTGCATCCTCCTCCAACAATAGACACCTTCTACATGCGAGAAGATGCCTTGGTTATCGTCTTTTTATCTTTTCTCTGTTGAGGCTGCTTTTGCTCTTGATAATTCATTAGATGGAGTATCATTCTGTGGTGCATAAATCTGACTTGTATAGTAACTGAATTATTTCCATGTTGAAAAATTACCCCCCATTATAAACCTCCAACACATCCTACTTGAGAGTGTTGTGAGAGCCCTGCGTGGGAGTTAGAGGGTAATGTTCTAGTGGCCAGGTTGTTACCTCCAAGATGATTGCTTGGCAGCCCTGCAGAACTGTGCTAAAGTTTAAAACAGTGGGGTGGACAAAAAGGCAGTTGGCTGAACTGGGATGCAAAGCTGTAAGTTCATCCTTCTCGCCTGCAGGAAGCCCTGTGGTGCACTTCAGCTCAGGACTCTGCTGCAAGCTTTGGTACAGCTCCTGAGAGGCTGTACTGTGTCCGCAGAAGGCTCTGCTCTCCTCTCTCTGTCTCCTGCAAAGTGACTAAATACAAAGTATCCATTCTTTGACTATGCTTACTTTGTATCTCTTTATTTATGAGTGGGATAATGAGGGGTTTCTTCTAAGAATTATCTCTCCAGATACTTCTGTGGAAATTTGAAGTTCATCAGCTTCGTTTTGCATCTTCTCTGTTACTGGAAACCAGCTGCTTCCCCACTCAGAAAGGCAAGTGGATGTATTTACAGAAAGATGCATGGCTCCATCTCACTAAGCATGGATGGAGGGAAGTATACCAGAACCAGAATGGGAAATGCATAAAGGAAAAGGCAAAAAGCCCCCTGGAGTCCACTTCTGAAACTCTTTGGTAACATCAGCGCAGATCACTAGAAAGAGGGAATCCTTTCTCTGGACTTTAAATCTGGGAAAATACATTTGTGAGACCCCAACCACATGAAAGCAGAATCATTTCCCTCAAATTCTCAGGAATCCTTATGTATAGTTAATATTTGCAGCAGTGTTTATTTTTCCAGTAGCACAGTTGTAAATGAGAGCGGCTCATTGAAGAACAGCCTGAGGTCTGCTGTTCCCAAGACTTCAATCATCCCTCAGCCTTGCTGCAGGAAGGCAGGGAGGGAGGACGAGAGGAGTAGGCTGCAGCTGCTCCTTCAAAGCTGCCAGGACTCTTCAGAGAGAAGAAGCCCAGTGAACAAGAATACCAGTTTGTGGTGATTAAGAGTTTCTTTGTTGTTGTTGTTTAATTTGCCCTGTGGTTGATGTCTAAACTCTTGTTAGCTCTTCTAAAAACAGAAGCTCGAGTCCATGGAAGAGCAGAGGGTGGCCTGCTGTCCCAAATGATTTGGCGTGTTTTATGCACAGCTTCAATGAATACAATAAGAAGAGTGGATCCACAGAGGCTGTGAGACTTCTGTTGCAAAGTAATTAAAATCTTGGCTATTTAGCATTTCCAAGTGAGTGGGGAAGGTCACATTTAGATTTTCAAAGCATTTTCAGTGCCTTCTGATATTCATGTCCAAAAGCTCTCCTTGGTTGGTTTGAGGTGCAGAATATTCCTGGGGTATCTCATCCAAAGTTCACTGTCTTTTGGATGTATCAAATGTGTGTAAAGCTCCAATGAGAAAAGTCCCAGCCATATACCCCAGGCTAGGTCCCCATCAAGTGCCCCATCTCATTGTTAATGGAAGAGCTGGGACAGAGAAGGACAGTCATAAGGAGGTGACCAAAGTATTTGTAGTTGGCCTTAGCAAGTTCATAAAGTGCGGAGGACGCTTCTCCACTTGAAGTCACCCATCTAAATGCATGTCACAGCCGCCTTCCCTGTCCCTTCCTGCTGTGGGGTGAAGGGTCACAGCAGACACTGGCCATTGTTGTGGCTCTGTTCCCATGCTTGGTATCAGAGACCTAGCTGAGAGAGTGCAGCAGAGAATGGCAGTGACCTGGCTGCGTTCTCCTTAGTCTTTGCTGTTAGGAGCCGAATGCTCATCAAGATTGTACATAGTTTGTGACATCGCCCAGGTCATCAGTACGTCTCAAAATGAACCAGTTCTATAAATTCAGTGCTGTCAGTCACAGGGACTATTGTGTTCACATGTTAATTCACCAGACCATTTAGTGAACTAACTTTTCTTCTTGGTACAAGTGGGAAAAGTCATTGTTGGTCCCCGCCAATGACAGCATCCAAGAGGGGCAGACCACCACTGGCTATGGCTGCCACAGGTACAGTGTCCGACAAAAGCAAGAGGTCCCAGTGACGAGGAAAGATGTGAGGTGGGCAGGAGCAGGAGGCTAGAAGGTGGCCTGTGGTGGCCGACATGTTTCTTAAACAGCCAAGCCCATGCACCTTCCTTGGATGCCAGGGACACCCAGCCACAGCTTCTCTTGCTCAAAATCCTGAGTCAGGAAGGGCATGTGGGTGCAAAGCAAGAATGCTGGTGGAGGTAGGGACCGGGCCTTGAAAAGCAGTCTGTAAGAAGCTTTGGGCCTAGTGCAAAGCAAAAGCCTGAGGTAGGAGTACAGAAGGGCTAGTTTTGACATTGGATGAAGTGCCACCCACCTCTAGACACACGAGCTGTGACCTTAGTGAACCAGGTAGGTGTACTGATGAGCAGTCTCAAAAATCCACAGGGGTGGCAGATGCCCTGTTAACTTCCCATAAAACTGCAATTATTCTTCCACCAGTGGCCACGCCTGTTATCGTATCTTTGAACCACGCCTTGCTGCACAAAAACAAAGTATCCATCTCTTTTAGCAAACCTCACATAAAGCAGCCGCCCCTGCAGATGAGTGAGCGGCACCCACACTAAGCCCAGGGGATACAGCCATAAGGTGGTTTCTGCACCTCCAGGGGGTCTGCGTTGTTGATAGCTACCAGGACTGAAACAGTAGCATTTCTTGCATTTTTTCCTATGTCTGGGGCTGGGAAGAGGTTACATTGCTGGTACAATCTAGTGGGACATTCTCTGAGCTCATGTGAAGCCACAGATTGTGAGGAAGACCATGCTATACCTGGCTGGAAATGGGAGAGTGTCCTAACTAGAAACAGCCTTGGGAACAATCTGAACCCAGGATCCACTCAGGAGCCAGAGTGCAGATGTGAGAGGAGAAGACCTGCCCCGCCAGAGGGAAGTCAGATTGTACCATGAAAATGTACTCACAGGCACCAGGCCACACCCATCACATCTGCCGGCTGCCCTCTGCCTGTGGTCAGTGTTCGTGATCACTGATGTAAAAGGATCTGTTGGTTTTACTACAAGTAAAGGAGGCTGTGCCTCACCTCAGTGACAGAGCCAGTTGGGACCTGAATCTCAATGTCTTGTGTTAACTCCAGCCCTTGCACTGCCACCAGGATGAAAGGAAAATGCTCTGTATGTTAGTCCTGGGAAGAAATCATGCCTACTCTCCCTGAGAGTCCCAGAAACCTGAGAAGAAGGGGTGAATCACTTAACCTTGGAAGCACGGGGGGAAATCTCCCATTGTGCTGAAACCAGACCCCACAGAGGAAAGGCCACCAGCCACCAGCACTGGTCCCATGAGCGAGAAGTGGAACCTGTGGGACTGTGATCCCAGCCTTGAAGGAGGGACAGCTGCATGGATGAAGGTCAGTGAAGGTTATTGGCAAATGCTGGGAAAACTGCAGCCTGGATCCAGCTGCTCTCTTGGTAGGCATTGCAGGCAACATGGTGAGGAAAAGATGATGCTGAGAAGATGCTGACAAGAACAGGAAGTCATCTCATTGGAAAAGGGAGGCGGACAGGAAGTGTTGCTGGGCTGATGCTCACAGGAACAGAAAACAAAGCAGGGCAAATCACGTCTTACTGCTGAGCCCGGAGGTCTCCCTCCAGTGTCCCTGTCTTGGCAGAATCTGCCAGGGAGCAGCTGGCAAAGAAGAATGCAGGTTTCAGGTTCCAGCCCTGGTATCTTAGGAGCAAAGCAAAAAAAGCTGGGCTTGGAGCTGGAGAGAAAGTGCTTACTAATAGACACTCAGAGCTTATGATTCAGTGAAGCCTGGACCTAGCACTTGTCAGCTGTCCATCAACTCCAAGACTGATGAGCAATCAACATGAGGCTTGACCCCAATGTCCACCACAGTGTGACAACACTGGGCATCCTTAATTTA